GGTTGGGTTTGAACCCACCACCTTTGGCATATGGGGCTGGCGCCCTACTCCTTTTAGCCACAGGCACCGCCCTATACATAATTTTTTTTAATGTATTATATTTATAAATTGTACTTATGCTGAAATTAAAAAATATATATTACAATACTATTTTTGCATTCTACAAAAATTTTTGTTGCTCCATATAGACCAAATTTTTAATTAAGAACCAGCCCCTACCCGCCCACCCCCCTCAATGGTGTCCCGCTTTACCAATGTTAAAATCTGGTCACCTTACGCTATAGGATCATAGCCATTTTAGTTCTGCCTCCTAGGATCAGTCCTCTAGTCGTGACAGGCTCAGGGACTGCAGCACTCCAGGAGAACTATTTTCTGAGGGTACAGAGAAACCTGCCTCTGAAGGATTTAGCAGAGATTTGAGTTCCCAACCCTGTAGAAACTGAATGCTGAGAAAATAACCAGATGATCACTGTGGTCAATTAAGATGGCGATCTGGTCTATGCCTGGGTACTAGAGAGAGGTTTTAAGTGATGTTATCAGTGGGTGTTGCCTGTGGGCTCAGTGAGTAGGGCCCTGGCCCATATACCGAAGCTGGCGGGTTTGAACCCAGCCCTGGCCAAACCACAATAAGCACTGTCCCCTAAAACTACAGTGCCACCTGATGTCCTGGCAATATATTGCAACACAAATATATTCCTACTAAAGTCGGACCCTTCGCCATATTTGTGTTTCTTTTTTTTTTTTCTTCTTGTTAGTATTTTCTCCTTTTTCTTGTTTGTTGTTCTTTTGTTTATTAGTTACTGAGGTTGCTTATTTTTGGTTATTTAGAGCTTTTTGATATTTTGTGTTGATGTGTTCTATTTCTTGCTTATTTGTATGATTGTTTCTTTTCTTAACCTCTATTTTTACTTTGATCAAGAGCAAGAGCTCCTGTCTTTTTTGGTTACAGTATTTTAACCTCATTTATTCTCTCTCCATATTTCACTCCAGTACATTCTCTCTTTGGACAGAGACTCTTCTACCTTTCTTATCTCTCCCACAATAATCACCTCTGCAACAGCTGAGATATCCTCTCCCTTTTTCTTGTCTTTCTCCTTTCATTCTTTACTCCACTTTCCTCTCTCTCCTCTATTAGATACAATGGTAATTTTAATTTCCTTTATTCATTCTTATCTTAATATTATTTCTTTTCTTTTTTTTT